AGTGTGCTGTAGAGCTTGTATCAGTGTGGGCTCTGCAAAAGTGTGCATTGAGGGCACATATCAACCACAAAGTATGCGAGAGCAACCTTCTGAAAGGTCAGGTCTACATCCAGGTCTACATCTGCCGTGTGTTTACATCATAGTAGTGAAGTTTGAAGCAATCAGGTGATTTCAAAGCTTTTTGAAAGTGACAGAATTCCTGCTGCCAGTTGGTGGCACTATAACCGGGGTGGCGGTGCCGCCGGCTTTGGCCCTTTCATCGCTGCTCGCAGCTATATTTATATATATACACACACAAACACACACACACACACACACACATATATATATATATATATATATATATACATAAATATATATATATTGTTTTTTTAAGAGACAAGACAGAATATTACTTGCCTGATCTGATTAGAAAAATAGTGTTTGTGTGTGTGTGTGTGTGTGTGTGTGTGTGTGTGTGTGTGTGTGTGTGTGTGTGTGTTTGTGTGTGTGTGTGTGTGTGTGTGTGGCGTAATTGAACAATGTAGACATAAAAACATACTCCGTCCTTTTGTTCATACAGGACATTATTCAAACTGCAAAGTGTTTACTTATATTTGTGTACACTTGCAATAAAACACAACATTGTGCTTTTGTCAAGCTATAAACTCTTGTCAAACTGTAAACTACAACTGTCACCCAACCAAAATCTCTTACACACACACACACACACAGTTTAAAAGCAAAAAATATCAAACAATCCTATTTAAAAACAGTCTGTGGGAGCCATCTTTTGGACATTCATCATATCGCATTGGTTTTCATTTCTTGTCATCAAACAGAGCCCTAATCTGTTTATTTTTTCAGTTACACATTCTACATTGATTAAAAAAGAAAAATCAAATGTGTTTTTATTTTATACAGAAATAAATAATCTATCATTCAGATGAGAATAAAGTTAGTGTTAGTTCAAATTTTAAGGAAAACAAATATATGATCTGAAATATAGCACATTCATTTAAAATTCATTCAGGTTCAATTACCAAACATACAATCTTAATGTAATTTAAAGCAAACAATACATTTAAAATATATGGGTTGTATGACTATTTTTTAATATAAAAAGATATATATCCAAAAAGACAAGGCCTAAAGTTTAACAAGGGTTAAACTCTTATCACTGTAACAGACACAATCACACACACAATCACACACACACACACACAAGTCAAATCACTTACATTTTACATGCAATATTGACTTTTTTTCTGTTTCAGCAGCGAAAATAGTTAAACAAAGATCACAGCAGAACCATCGCGCATCTCACAGCAACGCGTTCTCATTACTGAATGATTCAGCATTTTGAACGAATCGGTTGACTCAAAGATTCAATGACCAATCAATCCATAAACATCTATCTCATTCATGAATGACTCAGTCGTTCAAACGAATGAATCAATGACTCGCTCATTAAGACGGTCGCCTGGCGACACCTAATGACGGTTTAGTGTTATGTTTAAAAGTATCATTCTTTCCAACGATTGTTAATTAACTCATATTTGAAACATAAGCTATATTTATATATATACATACATATACACACACATACACAAAAATAAAATAAAAACACATTTGAAGCGTGTTTGCTTACTAAATTGTGAGCTGAACGAAAGTTGCAGCAAATATCAGCAACAGGAGTCAAATTTCATTAATCACGAGAGTGAAGAGCTGACTGAAAAGATGATGACGGAATAGGCTATTTTATGTAAAAACGCCTATTTAAGCGAATCTGTCATTGTACTCTTTTATTGTTGTGTTTTCCGTGAAAAATAATAGACTATTGAACTCACAATTCAAGCAATCGGCCCCCGAAATTGCACTAATTTTAGTGACACTAAAAAGTATGCGGCTGCACTGGCATTCATAATGGTGCGCGTCCATGGCGACGAGCGAGCAGAACAGAGCGAACGTTTAGTTAATTTCTACTTCCATAGGAATTCATTCGAGCGCCACCATTTCAATGTCCGTGCGGACGTCCATATTATACTTTCGCTTTCAAGTTAGTGTTTTTAAACCCCCCAGCGGGAGGTTTACACAATTGGTTTACACAATCACACGTTGATTAACCGGTGGGAAAATATTCCCATAGTAACATCCCTAATATATAAATATATAAATTCAATAGGCCTACCTGATTTTGAACACAAGAGGGCAGTATAGCACTATATATGATTTGGATTATTATTATTTTTGACTAAACAACCATTCTGGCTGTTTTTAAACTTAAAAATAATTCTTAAATTGAAAAAAAGGAATAAAATGGGTTTAGTTCTAATATTTGTATAATTTTATATAAAAATAAATGGTGTATAATTACATTTTAGAAAGATATGAGACATGCCCTGATTCTTTTTTTGACATTATTGTCCTCGATCAGAGCCCTAATCTGTTTATTTTTTCAGTTACACATTCTACATTGATTAAAAAAGAAAAATCAAATGTGTTTTTATTTTAAACAGAAATAAATAATCTATCATTCAGATGAGAATAAAGTTAGTGTTAGTTCAAATTTTAAGGAAAACAAATATATGATCTGAAATATAGCACATTCATTTATAATTCATTCAGGTTCAATTACCAAACATACAAATCTCAATGTAATTTAAAGCAAACAATACATTTAAAATACATGGGTTGTATGCTATTTTTTTTTATATAAAAAGATATATATCCAAAAAGACAAGGCCTAAACTTTAACAAGGGTTAAACAATCACTGTAACAGACACAATCACACACACACACACACACACACACACACGTCAAATCACTTACATTTTAGATGCAATATTGACTTTTTTTTCTGTTTCAGCAGCGAAAATAGTTAAACAAAGATCACAGCAGAACCATCGAGCATCTCACAGCAACGCGTTCTCATTACTGAATGATTCAGCATTTTGAACGAATCGGTTGACTCAAAGATTCAACGACCAATCCATAATCTGTCTCATTCATGAATGACTCAGCCGTTCGAACGAATCGTTTGAACGAATGAATCAATGACTCGCTCATTAAGACGGTCGCCTGGCGACACCTAATGACGGTTTAGTGATATTAAAAGTATCATTCTTTCCAACGATTGTTAATTAACTCATATTTGAAACATAAGCTATATATATATATATATATATATATATACACACATATATATACACACACATATATATACACAAAAATAAAATAAAAACACATTTGAAGCGTGTTTGCTTACTAAATTGTGAGCGGAACGAAAGTTGCAGCAAATATCAGCAACAGGAGTCAAATTTCATTAATCACGAGAGTGAAGAGCTGACTGAAAAGATGATGACGGAATAGGCTATTTTATGTAAAAGCCCCTATTTAAGCGAATCTATCATTGTACTCTTTTGTTGTTGTGTTTTCCGTGAAAAATAATAGACTATTGAACTCACAATTCAAGCAATCGGCCCCGTTATTGCACTAATTTTAAAGTGACACTAAAAAGTATGCGGCTGCACTGGCATTCATAATGGTGCGCGTCCATGGCGACGAGCGAGCAGAACAGAGCGAACGTATTTTAGTTCATTCCTACTTCCATAGGAATTCCCTCGAGCGCTCTGCACGTGGCCATTATCAATGTCCCGTATTTAAAAGCTCTCGGTCCTCAGTCACATACCAAATATATGTATAATGTATATATAAATATAATTTTGGACACAAGAGGGCAGTATGGCCCTATGTATAATTTTGTGTTTAAACTAAAAGAGCCCCTCCCCCCCTCCCCACACAGACACAGACACAGACACACACGAATGGCAGGGTGCATTCTCTCTGTCAGAGGGAGAGGGAGAGAAAATTCTCAGAAACATCCACATTCAAAAAAAAATATCTAACTTCCTCTTGGTCTGAGCTAATGACAGTTAATTAGAAAGTTGTCCGGCTTGATCTGAACCATATGCATACCTGTGTCTGTCGAGTTTCATGCAATTTCAAGCATGCTAAGAGTCTCAAAAGCATCAAACAAGAATATTAAAGTTTGATGTGTTGCCACGGCAACAGTATCTAAGATATCAATAATCCTTTCACAGGTCTACATCTGCCGTGTGTTTACATTATACACATAAAGTTTGAAGCAAATCGGGTAAAAATAAGAGGGTGATTTCAAAGCATTTAGGAAGTGACACACTTCCTGCTGCCAGTTGGTGGCGCTATAACTTTGACTCACAATAGTCACATCCATGTGATCGGGCTCTTACAACGAACACACTGTTGAAGTTTCATCAAGATCAGTTAATGTATGCAGTAGTTATGACACACTTCCTGTTTCACGTTTCTCGCCATAATTTTGTTTCCTCGCCACGGCCAAACCGTTCGAGATATCAAAAATCCCCTCGCAAACTTTCATCCTCAATGTCTTGACTTCATGCTGACCGAGTTTCGTGCCGTTTGTTTGAATTCTCTAGGAGGAGTATTTCACATTCCATTGCGTGTGTTTTACCAACAACCCTAAATAGCCGACTTCCTGTTGGGCTGGGGTAAAAAGTAAGAGTGTGAAGTATATATGAAACGAGGAGATCTACATGTGTACCGAGTTTCATATTATTACATGCAAGCGTGTTTGATTTATGGACCATGTTTTCGGACCCCGTTCCAGGGGGCGCTGTCGAGCCCCCCTGCCACGCCCGGGTACCATCTTCAGCCCGGCCCTGATGGCCGCGGGTTCTGACATGTGTGCAAAGTTTCAGGAGTTTTTGAGCATGTTAAGGCCTCCAAAAGTGTCCAAAAGGTAGCAGAAAAATAATAAGAATAATAATAATAATAATAATAATAAATAATCCTAAGGAAAACAATAGGGCCTTCGCCCTTTGGGCTTGGGCCCTAATAATAATAATAATAATAAATAATCCTAAGGAAAACAATAGGGCCTTCGCCCTTTGGGCTTGGGCCCTAATAATCCTAAGGAAAACAATAGGGCCTTCGCCCTTTGGGCTTGGGCCCTAATGATCCCTCAAAAACAGGACACTCAATTTTGTGCAAAGGTCTCTGAACTTAATTTATGTTGTTTGACCACTAGGCGTCACTCTTGGGCTTTTCTAATGCCATTATTAGAGAGTACTGAGGCTACTGAGCAACGAGGAAAATAAAATTCAACAACCCCAACATTTTTGCAGTCAATGCAGTGTAATTGTCCCTAATCGTCTTTTGGGGAGGAATGTCAGCTTTTAAATGAACCATGCTTGAAACCTTCTCTCAGGTTTGCAGCTTTGTTCTGCTCTCAGGGTAACTTGTCAAAAACCAGCTACAAATCACATACTGTTAAAACACTGTAATCTACGTGCCTATCCATGATGGTAGAATTGAGTCACTGGATGTAGGGGTAATCTTAAAGAGTCTTATTGGTCGAGGAGTCCGAAGCGGATGACAGCAACTTTGTGTTCTTTTCGTTCTGTAAGAGCGCCTTTTCTGTGGACATTTTATCTTGGTGTACAAAGGCACGCCTCCTCTTGGTTCTGGCCGAGCACCTCAGCAATGCCTTGACAATCAAGTAGCTCAGTTCAGCCACATTGAGCACAATGCAGATGGCAGAAGATCCCACCATGAAAATGGTGAAGACGGTCTTCTCTGTTGGCCGTGAGATAAAGCAGTCAACTTTATTGGGACAGGGCCACTGCTCACACTTCACAAGACGTGCCATCTGAAACCCATCGTAGACATAATACAATGCATACATGAATCCGGCCTCGAAAAGGAGCCGGAAGAACAGGCTGGAGGTGTAGGTCCACCACAGCGGCCCAGTGATGGGAAGACGCCTCTTCTTCAGGCTCTCCAGGTCATCCCCTTTGGCACTGCCAGCACGGTTGGCCAAAAGGCCTTTCTTTACGTTGCGTTTGCGGTACGCCACATGCATAGCCACCAGCAAAGCCGGTGTAGACACAAAGATGAGCTGCAGGCACCAGAAACGGATATGCGAGACTGGAAAGAAGTGGTCGTAGCAGACGTTTTTGCAGCCGGGCTGTTGTGTGTTACAGGTGAAGTCGGACTGCTCATCTCCCCAGACCGTCTCGGCTGCTATTACAAGGATGCTAATGCGGAAGATGAAGAGGACAGACAGCCAGATCTTTCCCAAGCTGGTGGAGTGTTTATTCACCCCTCCCAGCTGAGCATAAAGTGCTCCCCAACTCATCTTGTCTACTGTTGCTCTCAGATCCTAGAAAGAGAGGAATTTGAATTAGCAACTATAAAAAGGCCAACTTTAAATCCTTTCACCATTTGTTTAGGCACGCAAACTGGAGTTGTTTTTAATAGCTTTTAAATATTTGGAGGTGTATAAACTTTACATATTGTATGTAAAGTTTTCTGTTAACTTTTGAGTTCAAAATTACATTTTGGATGATAAAAACACACCGAGAGACAAATAAAATACACTGAGAATCTAGGACATACTATTTGTTAATCATTTGTAAACCACTTTTTTTTTGTAAATGTAGGCCTGCTGTATATTAACTATAATTCCATGTCTTCAAAAAGACGCAGCATATTGAATTGCAAATAGCCTACTTTTATTAACATTTGCTTATTTATTTAATAACATTAATATAATACTTTATTAATTAGCCTAACACATACATTCCGTTCAAAATAAAAGATCTCACACATTTGGTAATATGGTCGAGCTTAAAGGGATTTGCAAATTCTGTCATTTACTCACCTCAAATTGTTCCAAACCTGTATAAATGTCTTTGTTTCGCTGAACACAACGGAAGATATTTTGAAGAATGTTGGTAATCAAACAGTTGTGGGGCATCATTGACTTCCATAGCATTTCTCCATATATGGAAGTCAATGGGGCCCATCAACTGTTTAGTTACCTGTTCTCTTCAAAATATCTTCTTTTGTGTTCAGCAGAAGAAAGAAACTCATATAGATTTGGAACAACTTGAGGGTGAGTAAATGATGACAGGATAGAAAACTATCCCTTTGACGCGTCAAAATTATCACATAAAATGTGAAAAATATCAGTGAGGATTATGGCAGTTTCACAAAAATGTACCTGTTAGCATACAAGATGATTCAGACCAAATCCATGATATATATCCGTCCAGGTGAGTAAAAATGAGTAAATTCACTTGCGGAGTGTCTTTGTAGTCTTGAGAGTGAGATGAAGTGATTGACTGAGGACAGCGAGCGCATATTTAGTGCTCTCGCTCTCTCTCTCGAGGAGAGGTGCACCTGACGTCGGGCGGAGCCACCGCATTCATTGGATGCTTCTTGAGCTCGCAAGAGACAAAACGGAATGCGTCGCGCGTCTACGGAATGCGTCGCGCGCTTTCACAGCTCAACCAGAGGCGCTACTTACCAGTTTAGAAACTTTCACACGGTAAAGGTTTATACATTTTTCAGGCCATGTGTAAACAACCTATAATCGTATAGAAATTGCTGTTTAACTGCATACTGTAGGAACGTTCAGTGGCCATAAAACTATGTAACTTTTCTTTGCCGGCAAAATTTTTAATTACTTTTACTTTTTAATAGGCTAATATATAAAAAAGCATTCAGGTTAGTTTTAACTTCAGTTTGAAATTGCTGTAAAGGTTTACAAAAGGTGGTTCAAAGTATTGAACACTCCTAAAAAAATGTGTTTGTGTTACATAAAATACAAAATATCAAACCAAATAGTAGGCCTATATTAAATAAATAAAAAAGCGCACTTTAAGAAAAACATTTCACATTATATAGGTTTCAAAAGATAAAACAATTTCAATGTCATGAACTACATTGTGTTTACTCTGGTCGTAAACCTGTGTGAATTGTCGTCTTACGCTTTGACAACACCAGTTGGATAAAAGTCATTGCTAGTTCTGAGAAAAGTTCTAGCATGATTTATTTGTATCTGACACTTGGTTTGACAGGTTATGTAATCAAAATAAATGTCCACATACTGATTTATAAATGTCACATGGGGAAAACACCACTATTTTTAATTGAGTGCATTTGCCACACACACACACACACACACACACGCACGCACGCACGCACGCACAGTAAAGGACTTGCCAACTGGAGATTGCTTTAATTTTCCCTTTAATTGTGAAATTTTACACCATGAGCAAGAAAGTGCTATATCTGTATAACAAGTAGCCTATGCTTCACAAATCTAAGACTTTTAAATATTGGTAAAATTCAATTCATAATTAAATGAACACTTATGCCATTTCTGAGGTTAGCTTTTGTTTCAGTCATTTTCGTCTATAATCAGACATATTCTGTTGCCCAGAAAGGAAATATCCAACCAAGGACAACAATGGCTCAGATGATCTATAACCACTCCTATTTACGTATTATCTTATTGACTAGCCTCATTTCTTTAGCTTAGCCAGACCCATCAGCAGTTGATCTCTTCTCTCTCTCCTGGCTGTGAGGTGCTCCTGCTCACTAGGGATCAGCTCACAGACCTCCTAAAGGGGTGATCAAATCTTTATTTTAGTGTACAATGATAAAAAAAAATAAAAAATAAAAAACACACACAATTGTGGTTATTTGGAACATCTGTCTGTTAACAACTGACTTTAGTTTTTCCATACAACAAAATACTATAAATATTGCATACTTTTATAATTCTAGCTGCTGGCTCTCCAGAAAAGTCTGGAACAGGCCCAAAAGTAGTAAGAACCCTCTTCATGCCCTCACTATAGCGCTGGAGATAGTCTTCCATACCTGGACAGACAAAACACATGGTAAGGATTAAATAAAGATGCAGTTTTGCATTTCACCAATACAGTAAAATCACAGTAGTAGACCATAAGTAATCTAATATGACCAGACTCTAAAAACTACATATTACATAAAGTGTTTAGATCTATTTTAATTCATTCATTCAAAAAACTTTTTTTTAAACCAAGCTACAAAATTCATATTTAGTATATTCAAAGACTGCTTGTCATTCTGAATATCTTTGACACTAAAGGTAAAGAGTGCATATTCAAATTGGGAATTGAGTCCAAAATGACTCAGCAAATAGATGTTTTCTAGCAGAGTTTTCAAACATGAATTGAGTAGCTCCTCGTTTGAAGGGCATGAGTGCTTTTAGAAGGGCTCTCAGCAGATAAGACGTGCACCAGTGAAAGTTCAGCCACAGTTCTTCCCTTACAGATTCCAAGAACCTGTGCCATTACAGCGAAGGAAGAAACAAGGGCGAAACTCTGAATACAGGGGGCTTTATCACCACAGTGAGAGTAGCACCTCACTCACAGTACAAGCAGGCAGGGCTGAGGATAATAATTCATCTGTCATCATCAAATGTTAGTACTGGTGTCACATGGCAAAGCACGTTTCATGGGGGGAGCAGGGTCATCCTACAGATCTCACACTGCCTTCTGATTTTCACCATGAACATGAGATCTCTTCTAAACGCATGCCCATTTACACACTTTTGAAATTGTTTCAGTTTCTTTCACTAACTCGCTCTCTCTCACACACTTATTAAAGTCATGTGAGTTTGATAATTGACAAGAGCAACAGGTTTTCAGACTGCTTTTTCGCTGCCCCAAGCACCACAGCAATTTCTTTTCCATGCATGATGAAAACAAAAACGTCTCAGTGCTTATTTACAAAAGTTTCATTATGCCATTTAAAAAAAAAGAAAATCCGTGGGTTAATAGGTAGCTTGCCTTCTGGTGCGTTGAGATGCATGGTTTCAATGGGACCTATAAAAGCGTAGCGCATGCCCAGGCCCTCAGACATCACCAGATCAATGTCCTTCACTGAGATCACTCCATCCTGGATGAGAAGAAAGAGAAGTTCATTTGGCAGCTTGCTCTGTATTACACACTTGGATGAAAGACAATGTTTCTAAAAGTGGTTTACTGATGTTCTGATCTTCTAATCCTAAAATTACAGCTTCCTGCTTAGTAGTTTGTCCAGCCAACAAGGTTTGGTCCACCTGACTGAGAGGAAAGCCCCCCTTTTTGTCCCATCTAAAGATTACTAAAGCCGCTCCCACTGTATTGGGTTTCTCTTATCATTTAACTCAGTGTCCTCTGAACAATGGGATGGTATGGCAGAGGGAGGTAAGCGTAGTTGTGCCAGGCTTTGGACCCACTTTGCACTCAAATTACCTGTGGCCACAGATACCTGTTGCCTGACTGTGCTGAAATCAAAGCTTGGATACAGAACGGGCAGTGGGGGACAAGTTTAGGAGGGGACAGGGTGGTCTTTGTTCATTTCCTGCGCGCAACAACGAGGCCGTTATCTCTGTGTCGCCAGGCGGCGGACTGGCTGGGGAAACCGTGAAAAGAGGCCTTTCCTGTACATGGTAATCAACAGGGGCAGCCATTAACTTTCCCAGCTGCTCTACTTTCCAGAGCTGGCTCTCTCTCAAAAGGGCCGCCTGAACTCTGAGACTGATGAGTGGATTTGAGCTGCAAATCTTGTGTGTAGTGCAATGTCCAAACTTGAAATGTTCCTTACCATAAAAAACAAAAACTCACCTCTGTATGGACACACGAAAAATGTAAGAGGCAAATCCATGAAAACACAAGTTTATAAGTCTAAAATCTTCAGAACATCGCTTTAAAAACTGTGAAAGGCTTGCGGAGAGCTTAGTGTTGTTATAAACAGATCAAACCTTTTTTTTGAGCTAGTAAAAAAAAAATGTTAAAGCGTCTGTGGGTACAGTTTGAAGGCCAATTCACACTGCACCGACAGACGGCGACCAACCGGACAATCAGAGCAGATTACAGTATATCACTTCTCAGAGACTCCACGACCTGCCAAACATCGATTCAACATGTTTAATCGACGAAAACAAGCTCCGACGGACACAAAAAGACACAGACAGGGCTGATCCGACAAAACCAGACAGTGTCTGTTGGCGCTGTGTGAATTAGACTTTAAACTCTGGTTAGATATTTTGGGGAAAAAATAATATGCATAAACGAGCATGCGTGCTGGTTTAACTGGTTCATCAACATGGTTTTTTAAAAGCTTAACCTTTCAACAGTTCAGAAAGCAGATTCTTTTGAAATTCTTAAAAGCATTTGCCAACAACAAGAAGTTGTTAACCCAAAACATGCAAGAGGACACAGTAATGGGAGGGTCTCTGTAAAGATTTCGGTTCTTATCTAGATACGAACCCATGGATTTGTGCCTCAAATGGTGAATGTTAAGAAATTTAACTTTTCCCTCTGACTGCAAGGAAATCACAAGACTTGGAAAATGTCAAAATTATGTCATGATATCTATAAAAAAAGAAATTAAATTTCTTACACACACTGTAATATGGACACTGCCAAAAAAAGGTAAAAGTAAACTAATGAGAAAGAACACAATAAGCTAAAGCATACTGTTGTTCCAGACCAATCTTATTAAATTATCTCATCATCAATGACTGCACAATAACACCACGAAGAATAAGAAAAGAAGGAAAATGGTTACAAGGAAGAATACTTAAATGGGGTGTGATGAATAAGATCAATGTGTATGCAATACAAATGACATTTACAACTAAATGTGACATTTTGTCTTCAGCCTCAAGACTTCCTTCAGCACTGCCTCCATTCAGTGGTTATAAACCTCTGAAAGCCGTAAAGCTGTCATGCCAGTCAAAAAGGCCCAGTAAGCATACTATTAGCATAACATAACATTTTCAGTGCTGCCATTTTAAATTGTGAAGCAAAACCAGAATGCAGAGCGTCCTTTATTCGACATACACATGCATCTGTGACCAGCTTAAAAGAATACCAAATTTGACACCAACCAACATCAGTACAAGTGGTTCGACTTTTGACCTCTAAGATGTCGGTCACTGTGATTAAGTCACAGTGTTCTCAGGTAAGAACAACACAAGGGCTTTTTTTTCAGTAAGGAACCTCTGTTTTGGCTTTACATTGAGAGCATTTCTCTGGGGAAAAAGAACAGATTTTCAAAGAACAATGGACATTTTCATCTCAAAACGTAAATCAAAATCTAGACCATGTCATTTTAAATGTTATATCTAGTTGACTCAAAAACATAAATCCTGTCATCATTTAGTCACTTGACTTTCTTCTGCTTACTGTTTTTGTATTAAAAAAAGCGCAGTCTGAACATTCTGTGAAATATCTTATTCAGAAGACATGTAGAAAATCATGCAGGCTCGAAACAACATGAGGGTGAGTAAATTATGATATAAAATTATGATCATGATGATGAATCCTTATAATTATTCCCTAAGAGATTAATTATAAGAGATAAT